AACTGAAAATACATCAGACACAGATGTTTAGTAACACAGAAGAACTGTCTGGGTAAGTGGCACAACAACGTCAGAGCAGGATCGGTTCTAAAACCCAGAGGATAAATCAGTGTGGGACTGATGCAGAAAACAAAGACGCATATCAAGTCAATGGGCTCTTGTAAGAAGTAGTTGAAAATATCACTGAATTTTCTTAGGGCATCTAAACGTACTTTGTACACAGAAGTGGAAGTAAGACCAACTAAATGAACAAAGTGTACTGAGGGCAAATAATCAGTAAAATGGAATAGTTTCAGAATTCATAACTGATTTCTGATAGAAACGGATGCATCAAAACTTTATGAGACACTCTGTTTGGAATGGATTTAGTAATGATCCTTTTTCCCCACCAGCTCCACATTCAGCACTTTGCTATAAGAATGATAGATGCCAGCCTTTTTAAAAGTTTAATAGGAAAATAGTGGTCATGGTTCGCAAGAAAGCTTGCTAACACCAAGCGCAGCTGAGACTGTACCAAAAAAAAAATGAAAAACACAAGGGAAAAGCCTAGGAACTGTTTGCTTTAAGCAAGGGTATTACGGATGAGTCACGGGAAACAAAAATTGTGCCTTGAAGAATGACAAATTGGAACTCTGTAAAAAAGCAAAACAAAATTATGGGCATTTAAACAGCCTTTCTTGTTCTTAACTTAATGTGTCAAATGCATTGGATCTGACCTGCATTTATGGTTGTAATTGAAGGGAGTGGCATCTTAAAACCAATTATATGCTACCTGAGTGGGTGATGAGCATCTACTGAAGCGTCATAAGTTTGCATCACAGCAGTGCTTTTTACCTTGCTTGTTTGTTTGAGCTCAGCAGGATAAAGCAACAGTTTAAAAGACATTCAAAATAAGGGCAATATCGTTTTGGGGGCAGATAGAAGAAACCAGCAAGAGGGGCTCAGGATTTACCAAGAAACATGGAATGAGTGCATAAAGTCAGCTAAGAAATGATGGTGCTTTTAGGTAGCAGAATAACATGCTGACTGCTCAAGATTGGATCCTGCAAATCCTTCCGCACATGTATTTTTACCTTTATGTGAGCTGGCCCACCAAAGTTAAACACAATAATAAGAAGAGTTAGCTGTATAAAGAATTGCAACTCAATTAGGAATACAAATGGAAGCTCAGGTGAAAAAAGGTCCCTTGACAAAGAGAGAGAGGCAGGAGCACTGACGACGGGCATCAGTCAGGTCTGTCAGTGTAAAGGACAGATTATTTTCTTGAGATGGCTTTCTTACCCATGCTTGGGGAACTGACCAAACAGGCAGGCCCCGGCACAGCCTGCTGTTCCTTCGGTAGCTTCCCAGATGCCCAATGTACAGTAGATGCATTATTAACAAACGATTCAGAGAAGTTTGTAATGCCTGGCAACACTGAACTTCCTGACAACCTGAAAGTAGACACCTTTTCCCTGTACCTTTGTATTAACATCAACAAGCTTTCAACAACAACCCTGGTTCCTGGTGACCTGCCCACCCTTTTATTTCCTTGGCTCCCGAGCAGGCAACTTGGAGAGAAGGAAACGATTGTTTAAAGCCCTGCCTGAGCAGGCGGGAAGCAAGCGGGGTGTACGTTTGCACCGTGTGACAGCACTCAAAGCGAGCAAGGACGCTGAAAATCTGCAGAGATTTGTTATTCTAGAACAAATCAAAACAAACAAACAAACAAAAAACCCCCACCCCCTAAGCAAAAACCCCAAAAGCAGTATTTAGAGTGGTATAGGGAAATACAATTATGACAACTAAAGAGGTCCTTTGCCTTACAGTGTTCTAGCACAGCTTAAATACTGGTTTTATTGAAAAAGTCCACTAAGATTGGGCCCATGGGTGGGGAATTTGAACATATGCAAATTAGCAGGCTGCTCCTCATACAGCCAGTAGCTCTGTAAATGCCAATGGCACTGTAAGTGCTGGTTGGTGCTATGTCCAGCGAGGCATTTGTGTGCCACCCACGGCTGTGCTTCCCTCTGGTCAAGGCATTCAGTGCTTCTCCTTTCCACGGCAGCATGCTCTGCATGCCTTTGTGCCTGCAAGAGCTTCCTAACGTGCCCTGACTAAAACCAACCACCAAGCACATAATCTTTCGTGTTGGTTTCTGTCCGTGAGACCACGATACCCAGGGACCTACAGTATCTCTGCCAAGCTGCATGAAATGCCTTGGAAACAACATTCTTCTAGAGACTTGCATGTGTGCATGTAATTTTCTGCTATCAACTGCACGACACCATTTATTGCTAAGACTGTCCATCTGTTTTCTCAATGTGTTGCCCAACATCGCTCTCCAGGCAGGAGCTAGCGTCTGTCATACACAATGCTTTAAAAACCAGTTTTCTGCATGTAAAAGTGTAGGGAAAAGTAGCACCCATGAAACCTGGATGCATATTTTCCACATTTTTAGCCAGAACGGTGGCAGGTTAACCTGAACAAACTTCCTCCCAGTGCATTCCTGAAATGGGAGATTGCTTTTCATCCTGCTGGTGTTGCAAGTGCTACAGGTGTGGAGTGGATCTTTTTTGGCTACAAGTGCTGGCAGAGCAGAGAACGCTACTGTAAAACACTTACAGCAGGCTCAACCTGCAATTATGGTTTATTTCACGGGGCTTAATTGTGCTCATCAGGAAAGGCAGCTGGATGAGATACTCAGATAATATCCTTAGGGTCCAACATAGCAAACAGCTCCTGACTTGCAGACCCTTTTACTGTACTCATCCCTCAACCTTCTCTGCTTCTTAAGATAGAGGCTGCATGGCTTGGATTGGAAGGAGGCAAAACAACTGCTTCCAGCTCTGGAAACCCTTCTCCTCTTTAACCTATTTTTCTGTGTGGAAGAAGGGTCTTGTCTTTACCGTGTCTAGGCTGTCTCACCACCCTTCACGAGCTACCAACCTGTCCTCGTGATTAGGGCAATGCCACCTACGCCCTTTCTTTCTTCTTTCTGCTATGGAAAAAGGAATCGGAGACCAACTGCCCGGTTGAAACAGCAGAGGAGCAAAGGAGACAGTTTCAGCCTGGAGGAATAGGAAATGGGAAGACTGCTGATCAAATAGAAACATCCATCTCTGATCCATAAACTTTTATTACACCTGTTAAAATTACTCAAAGTAAAAAGGGGAAAGCGTTTAAGTGCTTTGAAACAAAGACGAACACACCTCATTTTAACTACTTTCTTGCAAGCACCTGCTAGCTTGGAAAAGGACATTCCCCTCAGTTGCAAGTTACCTAGAACATTTAAACTTCGGTTTTAGACTTATTTTCATATAACTATTTGCAGCTTGTATCTTCACTGATTTAACACCTTAATTTGGCAAAGGGGGTTGATTCTCTGTGGTTGGTAGCATCACGTTAGCATAGTGTTCATCACGTGACTTGCTTTCGCCCCTTGTGTTTGTTTACATTGCTCTAGCAGCACTACTACAGAATGAACTTCTTAGTTAGAACTCGAAAGGTTTAAAATTAACATGGGGATTCCCCTCCAAGCTGAAAACAAACTTGTTTTCAACTCAGAAAAAAGTAAAACTTCAGACTGGCTTAGTGGTATTCTACCACAGAGGAGGTTTGGTACTATATTCCTTCACCAAGGTTTCCCCAAACAGCAAACCTTCCCAATCAGCTTTATGAAATGCTTCCCCCCACCCCCTTCCATCAAATTAGATATGTATCTTTGGGGTTTTCTTTAAAACAAAACAAAAAAAAAAATTGCACTTTCTGGTCCCTTTGGTGCAAGTTTCTGCCCAAAAGCTTAACAGTAATATTTCCCCCCACCCCAGGCCACCACCAATGGAAGATTAACAAGGTCGTCTTTTTCACTAATTTAGTGCAACTAGGTTGAAAGCAAGGAAATACAAGAAAGGGGATGGGAGGTGTAGCAAGACTAACACCTCATTTAAAGGTCTCTGGCTCTTGTGAGAGTCTCCCCCCAGTGACAGTGGGAAGGAAATGACTTCGTGACGTTTTACTACCAGCTTTGACAGACAATCACACACACACCTACTCTTCAGTGTGCTTGGTACTGACTGGGCAGAAAAAACAGAATAAAAGTGGGGCTACCGGATAATTTAGCCTTGTAGCTGAAATCTGATTATGTAAAGGAATGAAAAGCAATCTACTTCGGCCTGCTACTTCTACAGAAAAGGAAAAATCTGCAGCTCCAGTTGCAACATGGCCTTCTTCCACTTCAAAACTTTGAATTCTCCTCCAACATGCTAAGATTAACTGCAGTCCCTCTGCTTTAAAACAGATTTTAGAGAGCATATACTTTCCTCGATTCATCTTTGATTATGGCTTTCTGATAATTTAGTAAGAATATCCCTCTAAAAGATTGGGCTTCTGTGATTTTGGATTCACTTTGCGAATAAGGATCTCAGGGCTATTTTTCCCTTACTGTTCTCTTGGAGCTAGCTATCCACTCAAGCCCTCCTACCACAGAGCTGAAATATAATACAGTAATTTTCTTTACAGCTGCATGCTCGGTGGTGGTACAGAAAGACAGCTACCATAACTACTATTTCTGTTGTTTTCCACCAGGAAGAATGAGCATCACTTGGCTCATGAGGATTCACAAGCACTTCCAGAGAGCACAAGCACTGGTTATATACTGGCAGCACCTCCTGCAATAAAAGCAGATTTTGTCAGTTTAATCCCATTTTCATTATGGTTTGATAACACCGGGTCCGCTGACAACATTCAGTTGAATTCTTTACATCATTCATTTGCTGTACACCTCTGTCCTAAACTGCTAAAATGGAGGGATATATTACCCCCTCTGCTGTCCTACAAAATGGAGTCTGCTGAACTAATCCCAGATTAAAAAAAAACAAAAAAAAAAACCAACAACACAAAAAACAACAGACACCCCCTCCCAACCCCTCACCCAAAAAAAACCCCAAAACCCCACCAAGCCCTGCAAATGAATTTATCCGTTGCTCTTAATCCCCACAAAGAATTTAAAAGTTACAGGCTTTGTTGATTCTTCATTTATTTTGAGAAATATAAAATATGAAAACTAGTTAACAGTTCTGGCACAAAAATGATGAAGCAATAAGCACAAATTTCTTTTTACAAATAATGCTATATATTTTTACCATTTAAAAGTGCCTAGAGTTTTTCACAGCAAATAAAGTTTATTTACCTATATATTTTTCTCTTAGTAAAATATTAAATCTATTTAAATTGCACATGAACACCTTGGTGAAGTAAACTATATGTAAAGTTACAATAAATCTGTATTTAAAGCAGACAGTCATTAGAAACTACATGGAAAGGAAAAGACTATCAAAGCCTAAATCGAATCTTAAAGATTGACCAAGAAAACAAGAGACAAGACACCAACTGATATGGCACAAATGATTAAATTATTGACAATTTGACAAAAAGTAATAAAGCCTATTTGAAGTTCTTCACGGATCTAATACACTGCTAAAACATTTCAATGCAGAGGTTTTGTAACATTTAAACTGGCAAAATAGTTTTTTGGCTGCTAAGCATTTTTCCACAGATTACAAGGCATCTCCTTCACTTAATACTGGACCTTAAAATGAGTATATTGGTAGACAGAGAATGTGCATAAGAAAAGAAAATTTACACCAAAGGTTGCTGCAGTTGACAATTTACCATGTTTTGACAGTAAAACAGTTGAAAAGTTTAACAGTTAAAATTAACTGCATTAACTTGCAGCAGCAGAAACTAGAACATTTAAAAAGATTATTCTTTACTTGTTCCTTCAAAAAAAACTTGCCTCGTTCCAATTTCCACAATTGCTGAGAAGTTTGACCTACAGTTTTACTGTCAATACAACCACTTACACTATGCAAAATTAGGTGTGAACTGAAGCCTCTATAGATCAGCCATAACATTCACCCAGTATTCTTATTTCTCCTTCAGAGACACTTGTGCTGAATTAAATCAGCCATTATCTGGAGGACTCTTCAGTCAAGAAAGAGTGATTAGCGATAAGATGTCCAACCTGAAGTATGTTCAAAAGAGGCCCAGCTGCCACAGTGTCTTGTGTGTCCTTTGACCTTCTGGATTATGTTTCTTAAATACAAACCCTTTAACATTGAGTTGAAGATCCAAAAATTCAAGTATCCAAAGTCTTACTGGTTTTAAGTCCTGACCTTCAAGCTTGTGTTGATGTCAAGCCATTTACATAACCGTTTCTTTCAAACTACAGCACAACGGATTCATCCCTTTTGGTATCTTTTGCAGGTGGCCAAAGGAATATTAGATTTGTATCAAAATAAGAATTAACATAGATAATAGGGTCCAAATAGCATTGCTATGTGGCTTTAAGAAACACAGCAATGTTGACAATGGATGTATGATAAATGCTCCATTATGTCATTCACATTAAGCAGCACAGGAAACACATATGCACACTAGATTTCTTTGCACTGAAGCCCAGCTGTTTAAAAATGCAGGAATACACTCTATTCTCAAAACCAGTATTATATTATAGGCATGCACAACTTCACATATCTAAACTAAATCAGGAGGCAGGACCTAAAACAACATCTTTGTGAAGAATTCAACAATGCCTCAACATTTGCAATCTAATGAAAGTCTAACCACTTAAAATGAGAGTACCACTGTGACCCTCCCCCAAAATATGTTTGTAAACCAGGTATTAAAGCAAGTTTAGTCTATGTGAAGAAAATTTGAAAGTGATCAACTGAATTCAAAGAAGGAAAATAGCTAGCCTCAAATTATATTTTAAAGGTTTTCCAGTTAACCGCCTATTGGTTTTCATATCAGTTTAATTGAATACCTCTTCTTAGACAGACGTAGAGAATATCTTAACAAAAGCAATCGATGTTGCCTATTTTGTTAAGTATTACTTTCAGGGAAGTGAAAGTGCCCAGTTTTACAATTAATTTTAGATTCAGAGTACTGACTGAAAAATGGAAAATATGACAATGAAAACACAGCAGTGCTAACAAATACAAAATATGCAGCTTTTGAAAATAAAGCAGCTCACAAGGCACTTGCTATAGTGGTCCATTAAATAAACAGTATATATAGTGCACCCTTAAAACATCATTGTTATGCATCAAGCTTTTTCAGTGTTAAGATTTATTAGAAACAACCACTGGGTTCTGTGTATTCTGAAGCAGTTATTGAGCAGCCTTGTTTTGTATATTATAAGTGAAACAAATTAGAAGCGGGGCATAGAAGGAGAGTATTTTAAATAATTTCTTGTCATGTGAAAGGTTTTCCATGCAGTGATAAAATTAAGTGTGGAATGCCATTCTGTCATACACCCTTCCCCCCTCCCGAACCCGCTGCCCCAAAAAGCTACATTCCTGCTACTGGAAGAGCCTGGCATTTTAATTACAATTGATTCTATCATCTAGTGGTTTGGCTCATCATTTGCAGCTTTGAAAAATAATGTGCATAAAGGTAGCATTAAGCTACTTTCCTTTCCAGAGCAAAATCTGGCAGATAAGGAAAAGTAAGCATCTGTAAAAATTGTACATCATTTCAATGGCTTAAAATGCTGAAAGTCATAATCAACACACTTGATACTGGTTTGATTTTTTTTTGTTCACAACATACTTCAAAGGCCAGAAGAGCTACAGACCCAATCACTTCTCCTAGCATTTCTCTGTGAGAACGGGTTCTTCATCTCCCTTTAGAAAGTATGCATATATTAAACCATACTTTTTAATTACTCCCAGGCTGAGAAAGCTTGGATCATACAAATGTATCTGCCATCTTAAGGTTTCAACAGTTGCATGTTGGCTAGAATAAGAAAAGCTGTCATTGACAGAAGGATCTGTAGATTGGCCAAAGGAAAAGTTAACATTCTAAATTAAAAACAGTCCCAAAATGTTAGCAAAAGGTACCAACTTGTTCAGGGGACTTCAATCTACTTCAGCCCAGTCTGTCATGGTACTTTTTTGTCCGTAAGCACCAAGGTGAGAAAACTTAAGCATTTGTCCAGAATTACCACACATAGCCCATTTTCAAACTCTACTCTGCAGACCACTTACAAGTACCCCAAATTCTCTCCAACTCAAATCACACAAAAAATATATCTAATCCTCATTCACACTTTTGCATAGTTTGGCATTTTCTGGAGTTGTACTTTTGTTTTCTTTCATAGCTTTTGAGGGGACTCATCTGTCACATATGCAAGTACTTTCAGTCTAAATCCTTCAGGACAAAAACTGAGTCCCACTTAAGCAGCAAGCTGTCCAGGACTTTGACATTCTTCTTTCAATTCAAGTAAAGATTACTCAGTTTTATCTGCACTTTCAGATTTTTCCCTTTGCATCATGCAGCGACGAACTATGCTGTCAAAACTTCCTAGATAAAATAGGCCAACGATGCGAAAAATGCCCATGCAAACAACCTGGAAACAGAGAGAAACATCTTTCAATTCATTTAAGATCCCAGATTGCAACGTATTATTTACTTGTGAAATTAAAAAAAAGTTACAGGCAGGTACTTATATGACCTCAAGAAAACAAACACATGAAAACCATTATAACTATGTAAGTCAGGACTGAGTAGCAAGTAGTAACCTAAGCCTTCCCATCAACTTGCTGCTTCAGCTTGAAAATATTACTTTAGTTTCCTAAACCCAAGTCTCCACAGTATTAACAGACATCTGATGAAAAAATAATACGTGTTTGCATAATGTTCTATATTTTAAAGTATTTTAAACTGTAAGAAATTGTGACTATGAGGCCTCCTCAAATCTCACCTGCTGAAGACCTTCAGTAATAGAAGTGACTGGTGACATTCCACTTGTCAATATTGATAGCATGTAACCATCTGATCCAACTGAGCTGTTAAAGTTTCCTTGCTGGATGGAAGGAAAACAGCAATTATGAAAAAGTAATTTACTCAGCTGTGGCAAATCATGATACGTCTTATTTCAACAGCTATTCTTGATGAACGTAGCTGATGTCGCTATACAGAAAAATATTAATGCAATTAACACAAAGGCATTCACTTAAAAGCGGTCAAGGAAGCTGACCTCGCGAGAGAGAGGTGTGCTAAATTACTACAGATTTCTTTACAAGATAGAAAGGCTCTAAATTTCCTCTTGAAGCATGCTTACTAATGGAGAAAATGCATGACAGTCTCCCCATCTGTCAAAATATTTCAGAGACAGAATTACATCCTAACTCTGTCAGATCACCAACAAAACACCGATTCCCTTTTGTTAAAATGTTTGCTATCACGTGAGTTTTGGCAGAGGGGTGTATTTCAAATGCTAGGTAACAGGTTTTTCTTTATCTACGTCAGGGATTTTTAACCTGCCCTCCTCAAAACCACAAGATACAGCCTGCTAAGCAATCCTGCTGGCAGGCAGACAAGGGGGCCAAACACCAGGAAACGTTGGTTGCTTGGTAGGTTTGAGTGCTCATAAAGAAAACTGCAACTCCATAGCTCTGACTCCCAGGCTTCTCCAATTTGTTTCCAGCAGACTTTATGCTGGAAAACAGACTTTCTGAAACACTGCAGGACTAAATCGATGGAATGAGTAAGCAAAAGGAGGAGGTGGTGTTGCTGAAAGAGGGGTAGCAGTGAGACTCTGCATAGTAGCAGAGGGTATGAGATCTGGTTATTTACCAACACACACCTGAGAGGACTGCGAGTTCATGCAGTATGAAGGTACCTTCCAATTTCTATTTTAGTCTCTCAGTTGATGGCTTGAATGCATAAAGATCATGTCTGAACTAACTGATCATCTGAAGTGCTGGAAAGCACGGTGTAGAAATACCAGATGCTTAAGATTAGAGAGGAGATTAGTTTTCCTTAAGCACCAAAGCAGAATACTCTGTGCAGCAGCACTTGCTTTGGAAACTCACCACCCCAGAAATGGACATAATTTTGTGTTTATGTGCTGTATTTGTGAAAATATTGTAAAAAAAGTCACAACTGAACACCTGCTGTAGATGTAAATCACGTTGAAGTTAAGAGTATTTGGAACTGAAAAATAATTACAGATTTTAGGATTCAATTGCTGTGCTTTATGAACATGAAATTTCACGTCTCTTTCTATTCTGAGGGGCTTCATTAAGCAAACAAGCATTCCATAGCACAAAACATTAAAAAAAATTCCTCAGAAAGGCAATACACCTTAATCACCAAGAACAGCATTTTATCTGTTTTAATCACTCACATATTTAAGACATTAGAAGCCAAAGAGGCTAGACTGACTGACTTCATTTATGGTAAGATTATTTTTATATTAACTCGTCTTGAAGAAAAATAGATAGTCCAACAAGCTTTTGAGGTTAGACAAATGGTATCTGATACATAAAAAGTCAATAGAGTTTAGTGCTTTAAAGTCAGTCATGATCTGCCTTTGAGACATTGCATCATACTGATGCATCATTTTGTTCTGTCTAATGTACAACGTAAGGTACTACTTAGTTCCAAGAGACTGTCTAAAATCTTTTTTGAGCACAGTAGCAAAAGAATAAAGAAAATACTTGCTGTTCAAACCAACCAGCAAAGAGTACTATTTTGTGTAAACTGATTTTGCATTTAGCTTAGCCATTGTTTTACAGTCTTAACCAAGCATCACACACAATCCTAGTCTCTCCAACAAAGAAAATACTTTAAGAAGATCATTTACTTACTATGGCATCTCTGACTATAACTTTGGCGACTTGTTCTGCTTGGCAAACAGATGAGGTTTCAGAAATTAGCTTCGTCTCTAAGGGCTTTAGTAGAAAAACACCAATGTAAGTTTGACTAACAACACACAGGAGAGAGAAATATGAAAGTAAAATTTTGGGTTTGAGTCTTTTGTTATGGAGGACATCACTGTTAGCAAGTGGTATCATACTGTCACCTAAAACATCCACTTAAAGAAAGGTAAAAGCACCTTCATAAATAATAGTTTAATTTTATGAAGGGAACTGCCAACTTTTCCTTGAGTAGTAGTACTTTTTTTAATAGTTTATTACTAATAAAATATGAAAAACTGGTTTTCCCCCTCCAAGTTTTTTATTTTCAGCAGAAGCTATCTAAATGCTTAAACTTCTCTTCAACACTTGTATTAATTGAATTATGTTTCTTCACCAGAAATTAAGTAAAATATAGACATGGAATATTTTAAGATCCTACAAAACTTTTTTTTTTTTAATTTCTCAAACTCCACACACTGGTATCCACCAAAATCCATCACTGCATTTTATTTCTTTGTGGTTTAGAGCATTTATGCCACTTTTCCTCACTAGAAGAAAGCAATTATGGCAGTTATTTTAGCAATCACAATTTCTTTCACAAAAAGAAACAACCAACCAAACCAACAAGTCCAGTTTCTTACAAAAACAAACGGCAAAAATACACTTCAGAGTATTTAGAAGCATGTTTGTCATTCACGTCCTTTTAACAAATAAAACAATGATGGACCTAACTGCACAGCAAGCTGTTTAAATGCTCAGTATGTTAAGATAGATGGTTCTGTTGATGAAGAAAACACAGTGCTACATTAGGGAGAAAAGAGTACTTGGTCACAAGTCGACTTGTTGCAGTGACTAATTCAGTTACACTTAATAACAAAACTTAATCGAGGCATTCAAGCCTAGTCAAATACTGGGAACTAGCTTAACTTTGAAATAACACTTTTAAAAAAGCACTTCTAGGGAAAAGCTGAGCAATTACAGGTTTCTCACTCATTACCAATTCAACGTACTACAGAAATTAAATTTCACAGAAACAGGCCTATTTCCATATATCTGTAGAATTAATAATCCTGTTTCCACCAACCAGGCTCACTGAAAACTTTTTTTATTTTTCAGTATGTGTATTTTAAGGGGGGGTAGGGGAAGGAATCGGTATCTTTGCCAGCAGACATCACATACAAACACCTTTTACATGCTCTCCTACAGCGACATGACTTACTCCATCACATCTCCATCTCATAACGCCTATGTACTTTTGAACTTACTGGCTAGTATCAAACAAATCTGAAAGAGATACAGGGATGTCAACAGTAATTAAAATACCATAAGTTTGGGGAAAAACTTAGCAGCTCTTTCAGGAGCAGCAGTTAATGACATGTTGAGAAAAAGGCAAGCAGAAACCAGCCATTAAATACTTGATCTGGCTAGTCTGCCAGCCAAAAAAAAAGTTTAATTATTAAACACAGGAAAGCTGTATCCTAGTTCTTGACGTTTTATTTTACTGTATTTGGTAATTACAGAGAAAAATAGTCTAGTCCTAAAGAGACACACAGTATAGAGACAGATGTTCTAAACTAAGCAGTATTAAATAAATGCAACAAAAATAACTTATTAGCTGAACTCTCAGAGCAACTCAATATTGCAGAGATTTAAGGTGCACTATCATGACAGAAGAAGGTACCTAGACTTCACATATACTAAACCAAAGCATAAGTCTTTGCTTAAAGGACAACATCTTTTTCACAAATAAGATAAATCTCACTGAATCTCTTTTAAAGAGAAATCTTAGATGAACAGCGCATTTTGCTGGTGACTACATTTCCCTGAAATACACTATTACGAAGAAAAAAGTCCCAGAGAACATGCAAACTATACAAACACCTGCAGATGTCCAATACTGGCACTTTATGGGGATGTGTGGGAGTATACATTTAATACAGAATATCTATATCAAGAAATGATTAAGTAAGAATTAGTTGTGTTATACAGTCCCTATTGATTCCCAAACAAAGGGTGAAAGACAAAATGGAATTCAATCCTGATTTCCTATTATACATTATGGGGCATCTTGAAAAGGCTGATCTCCTTAGATATCAGGTTTCTAGTTCACAGTAGGCAAATAAAAAAAACAAGACACATTTTTCTCTGGTTACCTGATACTTCTGTCTGAACAGGAAGCCTGAATGGAGTTTTTGGAATTCTACTTCATGTGTCGGGATACGTCAAATGAGAGGCAACTAAATTTTCTGACAGTCAAAACTTTCACTTTTAAGGTAAGCCAAATGAAGAAGGCCTACTGCTAACACGCCCTTCTGAAAAGTGATACTGTCGTCTGCACTACAAACACCAGGCAAGAGCATTTCCTTCCTACTTCAATGCCAGCCAACAGCCGCTACTGAATTGTGTCGTTACATCTATTCATACAGCATGGTTAGTTTGCAGACTTCAAAATAAACCTCAGTTCCTTCAGTGATCTGTCACATCTATCAGAACAGCTGTATATTATCAGAGATGCAAAATAGGAATATTATTTTTGCCTCATTAAAACTTTGATATCAAAACAAATAGTGGTTTTACAGTTTACCATTCCACAACAATATCTGAATTGTGTACAGAAAGACTCTGCAGTGTTTCAGCTATTAAAGATAGGTAGTTCTTCCATCTTAAGCCAGACAGTGAACTACACAAAATTATCCTATAAGCTATTTAACTCTGAGTAGTTAAGTTGATAAAATCGAAATGTATAGAAGTACTTCTTAAATATCTTACTATGCACTGATTTCAAAAATACTACAAAGTGAATAAAACCTGAAATGAATTGCTTACTATGAAGGGAGGCTTTAAAAACATTACAGTATTGCTGAAGAACAATTTACCTTTGTTTTACTTTCTTCTGCAAAGCCAGGTGTGTCAGTGTCTGGAGGATAGGCCACCGTTACGTAGATATTATAAGGTTTTACCTGTATTTTACAAAAGCAAGTGTTACCTTAATAGTGACAGCCTTTATACGTCCCTCATAACTTCATTAATTTATCTTGTACAAAAATAATACAGCAAGCATTAATTTAAATTGCTTCTAGTGTTGTCACCTTCATATTCAGAACTTGCAAGACTCACAGCTTTGTCAAAAGAGAAAGCAAAACAGCAAAGAATTTAAAAACATGGTTCTGTTTGTTTTGTTTAATGAAAGTATCCTAAAACTTCACATTTGATGCAAATTATTTGATAAATCTAAGTGTTTTTTAAGATATTTAGTAGGCATATGAAAGTAGTTTGGTCCTATAATTTGTTATTTTTAAATTGAAATTCGTAGACTAAACCATTGCCAAATACCAGTACCCAACGTTCACAAATATGAGACTAAAAAGGCTTTCACTGAGGCTTATTAGCATGGGGTTTCTCACTGTTTATGTCAACGTATTTTCACTGCTGGACAAATATGAGAAAGACAACAAAAACTCAGAATTCAAATTTCGTATCTTTAAGAGGTAAACTTAAGTCACAAGGCTTTTCAACCCACGGTATAAACTTGTAAGGGGTCAGAGTCTAAGGAGACAAAAAAATAAGTAGGAAGTGTGAGGAAAAACAGAAGATCTCATGTCAAGGATTGCATTTAATTATGTATTTGTATGTACGTGTCATGGAACCACATCACTGCACTACTATTCAGAAACTACTACAATGCAAAACTGTACTCCAATACAAATAGAGCTTTTAACAAAAATATTCAGAGGCCTAAGATAAAGCAAAGTGTTGTAAAGCACTAAGCATTTTTATTTCTATTATGAAACATTCTATATTGAAAACACTTACTGAAATACCACATCACAGGTCCATAAAAGCCCTAGCTGTACTTTTGAATAATTCAGTCTTCACAAAAATGTCTGTCACCAGTCTGAAGAAAGACCCTGCAGTCATGTTCTATTTGGCAGGCCATAAGTGATCACAGGCAGTTTTACCCCACAGTCTTATCCTAAGACATACAACTACACTGAACAGAACAGGGTAACAACAGAGACTATTGCAAGGGTTTGGAACCAAACACTGACACTTAATATACAAACACTTAACAACTAAAACACACATTCTTAACAGAAGAATAAGGGAAATAATTTTCAAATAAATTTTATCTGTTTTAATACAATGTACTTACCAACTTAATTCCACTGAACAATGAAAATAGCGTTTGTTTGTTTTTCAGTCTTAAGCATAAGCTTAGATCATTGCACTATAAAAAGCTCATATATTCTAAAATTTAAAAGGGTGAACCACTGTCAACACAAATTTTTTTTGTGGACAATCCTAAAATTCCAGCTTGCAAGTTTTACTGTTTCATATAGTTCACATACCACTTACTATGGCCTCACAAACAAGTTGGGAATCACTGGCCTACCCCTCACGCATCCATGGGATCTCCAATATCATTCTGCACATAGGAGCTTTGAAAAAGATTTTTACTCAAAACCCTTAAAATCCAAGTTCTTTTAGTTAAAGTAAAAGAATAAAAAAAGAAGTCTGCACATGTGGTCATCTTCAGTTCTAGGAGCAGATTCAATCTATTCCCTCTTACGCAACTGAAATCAGCTTAGTTTCTGCAGCCCCATGGACAGCAATAGGATTGTACTGCTGCCAAAGAAAGGGCCAACATAGCACACAAATATCAGCAGTGCTGCACAAGACAAAAAGAGAACTATTTAAATGAAAATGTTCTGTGCTGTTAAGTTAAAAAAAAATGTTTACAATCAAAAATACTTAAATTATTGCACACATACCTCCATTTGCAGGGCTTCAGCCAAGCCTCGAAGAGCAAACTTTGTTGGAGAATAAGCTGTATAGCCAAACAGGCCCAATTGCCCAGCCTGAGATGATACAAACACAATCCTTCCCATTCTTCGTTCCTTCATGGTAGCGATTACTGCTCGACTGGGGTAAACACTACCCAGGTAATTGACTGCCATTAATCTCTGCACAAATTATATTAATATGGTATTTGAGCCACAAATTCAGAATCCTTCAGCTGTTTGGTATTATTTATCAAAAAACCCCTATTTCAGTCTGCTTTAACAATGAAGTTCACTAGATTTGTAGTTCTATCAGCTGGCAAAAGAAACAATTGTTTTCTATTCTACCACTTCATAAACTGTTTTACAGCTAAAAATCTCACTTCCAAGCTGAAATCCAGTCTATCTAACAAGTCTTCATAGCATCCAGGATGCTGATAATACTGTGAACCATGTGACCTTCAGGGAAAAAACAAGAGTATTTGAGGGAAAAATCTAACCTAAACAGCGTCCAGGAAGCAATCCATTTATGCATGATGTATGAAAACATGCTGAAATGAAAGTTTAAAGAGCTTTCTAAAACAGGAAACAGGAAAAATTCTATGTATTTAAGCATTTCAGAGATTTTAATCTTTGTCAGGATAAGGGGAAGTCTTTAATTTCACTCTCTAGAAGACATTAAACACAACTGATAGCCTATACAAGCAACAGAATGGATGACTCAAATTTTTTATAAAATTATGTCTATTTAGTATTTTCAGATGATTCAGTGTTATCTGTAGATGACTGGGGCCTGAGGGATATGGGCATAATGCAACCAAAACACAGGGGTTTGAGGTTTTTTTTTTTTTTGTCTTTTCATCAGAACAACAGCTTCTCAAGCTGCAAACAATCTGTGCACCTCAGAACTGAACACTGATAACAGACAAAGTTTTCTTAAACAGGTTTCAGGTTTTAAAAGAAAAATCTTCACCAGGAAAAAAATGAGATCATGTGCAATTCAGCACCTTTCACAGTGCATTAAGCTATAAAAATACATGCCGAGCTTTTTTGCCATCTTGAGAACTCTATCCCAGAGGGAAAATTTAGTGTTCCAACCCCTTAATGGACCAATAAGTGAGAAATCAGAGGCAGTCCTTAGAAATCTAAAGATACATTCTCATTCTGACAGCTACCATAAGTCAAGTGTATCACTATTCATATAAAGTGCAAAGAGACAGGAATACAACCTAATTATTAGAATGGTTGAATAAGAAGTCATCGTATAATAAAGAAGTATGCTCACTCACTTCAAAAGAATTAACTTCAATATCTTCAAACTTTCCTGTAACTGAAGTTCCTGCACAGTTTACAAGCATGTCAACTGGCCCCAGCTTCTCCTGAGCCTGGAAGAGGAGACAGAGGTTAAGATGTTCTTTAGCAGGAAAAAAACCTTCCTATAGCACAGTATCATTATAAGAAACTATTTCCATTAGAAATACATCACATACAGATAAGCTTCTTAAGATATATAGGTGAATCAGTTACTTCCTCACCTGTTTTAGAACGTTCTCCACTTGTTCATAGTCTTTAGATACATCAACAGAAATACATAGTACAACCTAGAAAAGGAAAGTAAAAGAACATTTTTGCAACGCAGGAAGTCCAGTAACTGTTGACTGAGCCTTTCGAAATGAAACAAAATCCAGTGCAATCTTTTCCAGAAAAATAAGTCTTTTTCACAGGGCAATTTGCACATGTGCCACACTAGAGAAAGCAATGCCTGCCCCCTCTGAGCTCCTCCCCCTCTCACACACACATTCTTATATAATAAAGATTATATTCAGAAAGAATAAGCACTTCAGGATCTTCAAAGCAGCTACTCACGTGCAAAGTATAATTTCCAATTTACTGTACTAAGGCACACTACGACTTATTTACATAAAGTTTTCTATTCTAAGGCAAAGTTCCACAGTGCTACATTTAACTTTCATGAGCACTAAACACAAGTTGAGTTTGTGTGGCTTAGACACATCGTTAAGAAAAACAATTTTATTTCCACATCATAAAGGCATGGTTGCAGACTGTTAATCTGAGACTGCAGCACCAGCACTGCAAATTACTTCCAAAATTTATAAAGCAAATGTTAAAAATCTGCTAACTTTAGTACTGGTAAAATTTTTTTGAAGAATAGTAGTAAACTTAGTTGCATACTGTTTAATTGGGGCATGTCAAGAGCAAAACCAAAATAAAATTTCTATGAGAAACTGACTAGTTGCAGTGTCAAGAACACCTAAAAAGTGAAGTAATGTGTATATGTTTACTCCTTGTCTGGAAACAAGGAGATTATGGGGTTTAGTTTGAAAGATACAGAAAAATGAGAATAAACAGTGGGGAATGAGAATAAATGAGAATAAACAGGCAGAGAGGGCAGGCAGGACAGGATGACAAAAGACAGATGACAGTGATATCTGTTTTGTTGCAGCTGCAAGTTAGTCCCTGTTTTTATTGAAAGTTAATGATTACTTTCAGCAAGATGATCTCAGAATCTAAGTTTTGAAGCACCTTCACATCAACTTCTAGCCAAAGGAAGCACTGCCTTTGGGTTACCACTTACAAACTCTAAGCTTGTTACAAACTCTAGCTTGGCTAGGTATTGACAAATAAGCTACCCTCTCTGACAAGCCATCAGCAGAGCTTCGGGGCAATTCATCATCTTGAAAGGCAAAGCAATCTCATACCACAACAAAAGGAGGGGCTCCCATATTCGTGTTCCAATTTCTATCCTTTCTGTTATTTTGGTCAATTCATTTAAACTCAGTTTGAGGTGAAATAAAACTAAGTCATTACCAGTTTGTAACAAGTATCATCACTTGTCATGGAGCACATGGACACACATGCCAAAAAAAAAAAAAAAAAAAAAGCTTGCCACAGTGTAACTAGCTGCTTTGGCAGCTAGTCATTTATCAGTTCTGCCTCTGGTCAGGCTGCAACACTTCTTAGCTGCATAAACAGAATCTGCTTGCCATTCCTGTACAGCAGGTTGGCTATTCCTGCCTCCCAGCATTATGTGTCGTTGGACATCAGAGTAAAGTTGTGGTGCAAGTTATTGACAGGTCTGCATGCATCTCCCCTTAGGGCATTTATTACATTTTGGAAATATTTATCTTCTACATAAGTTTAAGAACAAAACAGCAATGGAACAAAAATGACATTGATTTATTATCTGGATGTCTTTGCAAGATCAGTGAGGAGGTTAAAAAAAAAATATCACAGTTCTGTATCAAAATTGCAGCAGTTGGTTAATATATCAGATTGAACAGATTAGTTATTCCTACGGTGAACAACACACTCAGAACTACCACAGCTTTTACTGACTACTGTCACATTATACAAATCGCCTCTGCTTCTATTACCGTATGTTCTTTCTTCTGCTACAATATACTGATTACCTTCACTCCAAACCATGAACTATAGATCCATGCCTAGGACACAGCATATGCTGCCAGAAATAGTTTAATATCCCCAGCCCTGTTCCTCACATTTTGTTCTAAATATTGCATGGTGTTGGATTCTTCATAAAGCTCTCACAACAAAAGATCAATTCAACTCCCAGTGAAGTAACTGGGAATATTCTGTATTAGGAAGAAGATTAAAAAAAAATATTGCAAAAACCCTTTTAAGGGCAAGGGTTTGTTCCATTGCACACCTATACCCATAAAGGCTGCACTGTCAGCACTCTAGATTTCATGCAAATGTCAAACACTAAAATGTACAGAGATGTCAGACCCTGGTTGACAATGCAATCTAGTTTCACATGTATACCCAAGAGCTGAACGGTGACAGCGTATGCTCACATAAAAACTAATCTTTCCTGAGGATCTTTGCCTGCTAGCTCAATATGTAGTACATGTGTCAGTGTACGTGATCCATATCAGACATCTTTTTCTACCCTCTTTCAGCAACCCTTTTGTACAGCATCTCTCAGTTCAGCTATCCCCCAATTCCCAGCTTCTGATCTGCTGTTCAGTGAGCTCTGCCCCAGACTCCCAGCTTTTTCCAGTTCTGTTCTTTGCATTTAGATCAGGCAGGCTTCCCTGCCATCTTGTCTACAACCCAACAGTAGCTACAGAAGAGCCAGCCTGGCCATCACTCCCAATGCTAATGCTTCACCTGGCTGCAAGTCTAAGGCTGCTTCTGCAAAAGCAGTCTTGTTCAGACCACACCAGAGCTTGCTCAACCTTGAAGGTACTTTCAGAGATCTTAACTGAAACTCTTAGGAACATCCACCAGGTAATATTCTTTTATTCCACATCTATCAAGCTTGGACAGATTTTAACAAGAACATCCTGACACAGTGTTTGACAAGGGATTAATGCTAAGCTTGGAAAACTACTAGAGCAGCTAAAAGGAAATGGTTATTGGGATTTGTTTATTTATTTTTATTGGGAAAAATATAGTTTCTCCTCACCTCACATGGCTTAGATTTTCAAATAAAGTTGATTTGAGAAAGGCAGCATGTACAAGAAAAAAAAAAGAGCTTGAGCCATTTGACAAAAATATAAGGTAGTGAAGACAGAATGTTATCTTATAAATTGAAGTATTATGAAAATTTTGTATCAGGTAGTACTAACATTATTGCCTCCACATATTCAGCTTTTTCCATTGCTTCTTTTCAACAGACTATCCAATTTATCAACTCAAATACCTTTCCACAGACAAATAAATCGCTTGTATTTGTAATCATGAAAGTAACAAAAGAGTTCTGGAACACAAAAAAGGAAAAGTGAGTCAAAGATATTAACAGTCTCAGTACTGTTTCCCCTCTCCCCTTGATTATTAGTACTGCAAAAAAAATAATACTAGCATTTCATCTTGAAGTTGCCTATTTTGAACATATCAAGCTTACCTATTTTAAGCTAGTACCTCCACAAGCTCTAAAACAGTGCCTTTATGCACGAGTGCACTATCTATTTACCAAAGCTGCTTCAGTGTTTTGAAGTCTCAGAACTTCACAAATTTAACTTGTATCTGTTAGAGTACTTTGCCAGGAAAAAGAACACAAGTATGATATAGTGAACTAAATCTGGAAACAAGTATCTAAATTTCCTTCCCAAGACAACTGCTGTATTTATGAACGGCAAAAAGCAAGAGATCTGAAAAAAATGTGGTTCTTCCACTTCATCTTGAAGAATACAAACGCTTAGAGTAACAGTGAATTGCAGCTATCCAAACAAGTGTACTACACCTACAGCTGAAGACATCAATCTTTTTCTCTAAGAAAAACAGGCTAATGCACTAGCTAGGCAACATCAAATGTAGCAGAGTTCAGAACATCTCACGTAAACAGATTGGTATTTTTGGATTCAAATAATGAGTCCCCACTTATTTTTGTCAAACAGCTTTGTTTTAAAGACAATCACTACAACATAGTTCAGTAGTCCTATCTTAAAACACACAACAGCCACTGTTAGTAATTATCTCACCTGCTTGTCATTAACACAATTCTTTTCTATTTCCTTCTTAGTCTGCAACAGCTTGTTCTGAAATGGATACAAAAGCAGTTAAAGCATTGCAGTTCTGAGAGCAATATTCGTCTTCAGTATTTCAATAAGGCTTAAAAACATTCCCTAAACCCCCCCCCCCAAGTTATCACCAACTAGTTACAGCACTTTATTATTGTAATTTTACAGATTTATGAATATATGATGAAAGCATGAAATCCATCAAGCTACCAGAACTCAACTATTTTTCACTTCATCTTCTAAAGCCAGTAACAACTTCTCTAGCAGATTCAATGCTTTTGTTTCATACAACTACACAGAGCACCTAAGACTGGATGTATTAATTTCTCTCCTGTATTTTGGTTCTATTTTATATTTACATAATATTAAACAAACTATTCCACAGAGCAATCACTGTCATGGAATTATCATAAAAATTAAACTAAAGTTTGCTAAATTCAAATTGTCATAGTCCTTTCAAGAAAAACTGTGTTAATTCTGGCTGCATTTGAGATTACGCAAAGTAAATTACAGTCTGTCCATGTGTCCCCTCCCTCCCTCCTCCCCTCAAATTAGGTGCTTTTATTTCTTGAATAGTTAGCTTTTTTTCTCAATAAATAATATGAAAACAGAGTAATTCCAACTAAATTCTGAATACCTTAGTTTAAAAAAAAAAAAAAAAACAAAACCTTTTCCTCCAAAGCTGTCTCGATGAACAGTTTCACTAGTAAAAAGTGTGATATGATGCTGATTAGACACCAAAATATTCTGTGAATTTTAAGAATTGTCTTTAATCCCCCAGTTATCACTTAGTGTAGGGAAATTTTACGGTTTTAAGGAGTATAGGATTTTTCCTGCTTTTGCACCTTACCACAGATCTAGACGGTGAAATAATTAATGTCATTAACAGAAGTGATAGCACTGGCAAACTTTTAAGGCAAGTTAATCACAAATTCCATGCTGGGCTACACTCCTTAAAACAGCAGCCACCTCTGCTATTCAAATGCATTTATTTCAAATGCTTAGGATCCCCTTAAAATATACACTGACTATCAACTCCCAAATTATTCTCCATCTATACACCTTTTGTGAACAGAGTTTGGCCAGTAAAAATACACATACACTTACCTCATCCCTTGCAATCAGTGTTATGAAAGCACCTTGCTTATAACATTCAATAGCGATACATTTTCCAATTCCACTGGAGCCTCCAGTTACCTAAAAGTTATTTGAAAATGGCAGTTAGTCCACTAGTCTCATCACTTCTCCCATATGATGAGTCAAATCAAATAAAAATTCTAAAAATACATCATGATTAAAATATCATCCAATGAAACGTGAATACAAAGTTAGTTTATTTATTGAGTAGAAATGAAAAATAAGATCTGAGTAGATCGATGAGCATTTGTTTCTACCCCAAAGCCAGTTTTACCTCAGTGGTATTTTTTGCTAACTTCTTACATCAGGCACACTTAGACCCACTCCCACGTGGGCTCCTTCACATGCTTTTGACTAAGTTCTTTGTGTTATTTCTAAAAGCAGAAATTTGAAATAACCATTAATGTTAGCCATAATAATACAATTACATATCACCCCTCCATACCAGGTCACAGTAGAAATTTTTTGTAAAATTAACAATTGCAGATTGCCTGATGAAGATATCATCACATAAACACAAATGGAAAATACCTTCTCTCTCATTGAAGGAAAAAAAAAAAAAAATCAGTTGGCCCTTTACAGAATATTTTTAAGTCCCCCAGTTTGGATCTTGAACTGTCCGTGCCATCTTGCAATTCCAGTTTTGTGGGGATGCCAGCACCTAAACTTCCACAACCTTTTCTTCTTCCTCTAAACTGTAACACTAAATAGCCTTATATGCAAACAGGAAATTAATAGTTCATCTATAGACAAATGCAGGGTGATGACTACAGCTCTGCATCATATGTTGTAGGAGGATACACTGTCAAATGATGCTAATATACAGGTTAGTGTCACCTTAACACCGCTCTCACTGCCTTCAGTAAGTCTGCTTGTGAGCTCCATATGGAACAAGATGTAGATAACAATCCTGACCTCTCTTTTTGACTAAAATAAAAAATGTCTGCCTGACACTGCCTTTAGATTACTTGTTCATTTAAGCCCAGAGTCTGAATATGCCTTCAGTCCTTAAACAAACACTGATATCTTCCTTATATACTCAAATTATTTGGATTTTCTTTTAAAAGCATATTAAGAAGCTATAATTGAGAAAATATTGGAACAAAATGCCTAGAAGCAGACATTGTAAAAAACAGATTCTGTTGATGAAATGAGTTCAGAAATACAGGCTTCCTAATAAATGGAAAAAGATTCCAAATGCTCTGGAAACCATCATTTTATGGTTTATCAAAATCTTTCAAGAGACTTCAGAGAAAGTAAGGTATCACCTCCATTTTAAGTATGAGAAAATGGAAGTATTAAGCTAATTAGTGGAAGAGCAAAAACCCCCAACCTCTAACTACACACTCTATCAAAAGCCTTGCATTGCCTCACCCGCCAAAGACTCAGTTTTGCTTTCAGAGATACATTATCCCTAAAATTCTTTCCACTTCTGGAGGCAGTAAAGTCAGAAGAGTCAGAAGTACATTCCCATGACTCACTAAACTCTTCTTTCATATGAGTGTTTCAACACTAAGCTATTTTTAAAGGTTAGTGAAAGTCAAATAATCCCAGAAAACAAATATTTACATGGTCCATAGTTTCCAACTGGTTCTTCTGCAGTCACAAATGGGTGAAGAACGGGTGTAACATTCACAAAGACTTGTTTCAGCCCTTTCGGCTTCCTCTATTATTACAGATAGCTGCTTCAGATTAGTTTCTAATCGGACTCTCCCTGAAAGATTAGCTTCACACTACGCTAGCCTTTGAGGCTCTAAGATGCATGTCCTGTTCTAGAAATACGAAACCTGGTCTTTAGTGTTCTGAACCAAGGATGACTGCTTTCAATGTAAATGAAGTCTGTAAGAGTACAAGTGTTAGTTAACGATTTGGGACTTCAGCACAACACCAGAATTAATTTAATGCTCCATGACGGAAAGAAGTTAAGAATTTTAGTTTATTCACAGAACAGTTTGCAAGATTTCAATACATCTGTGGAAACATTAAAAGACTCAGTTTGATACATTCAGGCAGACCTCAGTTCCACAGCACTTATGAGCTGCTTCTACAGATTTTCAACAGCAGCAGGTACACCAGGACATGAACTAATTAAGGTGCACGGAAGACTGCTCCAATTCCAATTTTTGGCACAGCACTGAGAGACAGCTGATTACTACCTGCATAAACTGCTGAGTATCATGAACAGGTCAACTACACCAGTGCTTGAGGAATTCTTTGAAGGTGAAGGTGCTGGCACCAAGCCTCTGGCTTGTCAAACAACACTAACGTTCGTTTCAGAAAGACAAGGTCTGAAGTCATGCAACAAATTGAAAAAGGAAATTTTTATTCACAGTCGCACCCGAAAACACTGGCTAGGGCTCGTGTCAGAAAGATCAGTGAGAAAAGGCAATATCAATTAGCTGGGAACTTTAGCATTTAGGTGGGAGGCTGTTATTAGTATGTAGGAAGTTGTTCCTAATATGCACGTCTTTCAGGAACATTCATTGTGAATGCTATTGTAACAGAAAAAAAATAATCCCTAACACTAGTGAAAACTTCGTTTTGTACTACAATTAAGATAGCCTAAGCAAATCTAGGAAGTCTGATAGGCAGGTAAGTTACTAACATAGATGCTCAGAATGAAAGGAAGAGCACACATCTACTCCATTAAACAAGACATTATTATGGTTACCTATCCTTGTGGCCAATAGATCTACAGTGCTACTGCATTTAAACAGATTCAGGCATCTGATTTGCCACTGATCCCATTTTTAAATTTCACTATAACACAGCCTCAGGAGTTAGCCAAAATAAAAATCTGGTCACAGCAACTCAGAACACAGACTAATTTCTTGACAGGAAGGGACAATTAAATCCCAGTATTAATTCAGCTGTTCAGAATACAATACTATACCAGCCCTTGAGGAACTTTACCGAGCTGTTTCTGTGTTTGAGAATAACAGGTACCAAATTAGCTATTCCGCAAAGGTCTGGCTCCAATTTCTTGAGCTATGATCCTTGATAACAGAGTTCCGCTTCTAAGGATCTTAAGTTTTATTTTCCCCTTGACAGATAGAAATGTTGGGGTAAGGTACAGAGAATTGCTGTGTTTGACTTCCAAATTTGAGATACTGGACATTTGCTTCACTTGATGAGGCAGTCCAACTGCAAGTTAACAGAACTATCATTAGGAACGCTCAAAATCAAGACTTGATTGAGGTGGTATCTCCAACAGAGCTTATTAGCTTTCACTTAGCACTGGATGAAAGCTGGCTTCATGCTCTTAGACAGTGCTCCGACAGCAGGTATTTAGTCCCACAGAAACAGAACATCCCTGTAACCTGCTCTAAGTGGTTCATATGCCTGACTAGACTCAAAATGACCTCTTGTTGAACCACTCGGATGCATCCAAATGACAGACCATATCACTCCCAACACAAGAACTGCAATGCTGAGCCACCAAGACTGGCCGTCCTTAAAGCTGACTGCAGTTACCAAGTGGGGCTCAGCACAGAAGTGGTGGAAGTACTCCTAGACTAGAGATGACCCTTATGCATGTGGATTTGGCACAATCATCCTGAACCATGTCCAAGTGAAAGGCTCTTTTCAATTTGAATGGGAGACAGTCCCAAGCAGAGAACATCTTTACATTTCCTGCCATTGTTAGTCCACAAACTTTGAGAAACTGCATTCATATCACTAAGATCTCATGTTTTTTCGCAGGAATTTCAAGTTAGTTTTAGAAAGATTAAGGCTGAAACAAGGAGGGGAGGGAGGGGGAAGGTCAGCATTGGTATTTCAGCAAAGACTGCTTCTGTAAATTTCTTGTGTGATGTTTAGAAACTAAGTACCTTTGTAGAGAAATGGAAAGGAAGAGCAGAGAGAACATGTGTAGGGCAGGTTAACATCCCTGACAAAGGTCAGTTAAATGTGATGCAAGTGAGCGTGATGTACATGGAGCAGTGACAACTGCCTTAATCTATTTTCATTTTCCTGTCTACTATTACAACCAGGAACCAAAACAACAGGTTACCCTCACAGAATATGGGATGTCTGCTAGTATGTAGCTTGAGACCCAAGGAGAGAATTAAAGGCAAAATAAGAAACACGTAAAATAGTCTTCTGGATTTTGAAGCATGAAAAAGTTCAGCACAAGAGGCAGCAAATTTCCAGCACAAAAATAACTTTTGTACCCTTTGTTTGAGAACACTTTCCTAGCCATGCTAGAAACAGAGCAAGTAGTATTAAACATCTAAGAAGCATTTTGTTTTAAATAATCTGAACCTGTTGCAGAAGTCCTTTTTATTTAATGGTGTTCACAAGGGTCACCAAAATACATAGCAGTAAGAGGAGGCAGGGGGGGAAATGCACAAGATCAGACCAATAGTCATTTGTAGCTCTGTAGATGCTCACTCTGAATAACAGTCCTATTCTTTTCTAAGAAAGAGACTCCTCTAATCATGATTGCTCCAGAAAGTATGCCTTGCCTAACACAACAAGCACTTCCATCATGCAAATGACTCTGGGAGAGGACAGAAAAAACACTCAAGTTTTCTATTCCAAAAGGCAGCCAGAGTCAGTTACTTAACCATAACTCAAATATCTATTAGCTGTAACTGCTAGGTGTGAAGGTAAATACATTTTATGAAGGATTAACTGTGAAAAGAATGCTGACTTAAGTTGAAAATTCAGTAACTGGTATGTAATAGCCTCTTAAGTTGCCCAACGACCTTTCTTCAGAAATGTAACATGTATTTTCATGGTGCTTTCAGCACGCCTCCAGAAAGAAGAGTTTATAGATAAGACTGACTTTTTCTGCTTCATAAGAACAATTTATTAAACAAAATTTCTTCATTACAGTATCATCATCCAATATTTTCCCTTATGCATTACACTAGAAAATTTGAAACCCAAATGTACAAATCTAGCATTATTAACAGCATCTACAAATCTAACAACTAGTGAACTGTGAAACAGTTGTTCCATATTTCATTAGTTTGCATTAATACTTTAAGAGCCTAAAGAAAGTCAAAATAAAACGAGTAGTTCTGCCAGTGGTGACACCAGTAAAACCGTTTACCTGCAGATTTTTATTTGTATCATCAACTTAAATATCTACAGCATTTCCCTCCATCAATATATTAATATAGTTACTTCCCTAGCTGGACTCCCAATTTTACAAAATTTGCAGACATACTGTTTTTGAGACTTCCACTTGTATCAAATCGAGTTTAAGAGGCTAATATAATTAGCAGCAGTGGTTACAGAGAGGTTTCTCCAACAAGAATATTCTCATTTGCAACAAGAACTTTTTAAAATGAACCATCTGATTAAAAGAACTAGCACAGTAGCTTTTAACAAGACTAATTACATAAAGAACAGGCAAAACTGGGGATAATCACAATATATATATATTATTAAAAAAAAAAAAGCAGCAAGATTTTGGAATAAAATCCTTTGCACTGTTTGGTATTCTGTATAAGTCACAGGTGGCCCTTAAGTCCGCTTCATCTTTGCTTTTACATAGTATTGAAGGGTTCCTAAAATCCTATTGAAAGGTTCCTCCTTCCAAACATTACTTCTGTGGGAAGAGCTGCAGCCAGAGAACCTTAATGAAAGCTCAAATGAACCTCACACAGTTTAGGATGCTGTAAAGCCAGTTACAACATTCAAGTAACACCTACCGCATAAAGCAACTTGGAAATACTGTTACACCTTGGACAGGTCTAAATTATTCTGGGGTCAGGTCCATCCTCCTAGGAGGAGCTCCACAAATAATAGTAAGAAACACAAAACAAAACAAAAAAGCCACCCTATAGGCTAAAAAAAAAAAAATAATAACGTCCAGTGGATGTAAATTCACTTGCACCGAAAAGGTCTAACTGCTGGATGACCCTAAACTCCCACTGTAATAAAAGTGCTACTCAACCCTTAAAAGCAAATTTAACCAAACGGTGAACTGCAGCTTCTCTACATAGAACATACCTTAGGGATTTAAAGCTAAGTTAAAAAAACTGATTCTAGGACTCTGATTCTTTCAATTGCTTAACTTACTTGCTCTCATGCGGCCAAATTCACTGCTTTGTTATCCACCTGAAAGCACCTCGGCATTGCTCCCCTTCCTCCCGCCCCCCTCCCACACACACATCCATACAACTTCTGGCCGTGTACTACTCACGAACCGTTTCAACAGCACGTGCTTCCGAGGGTTTCCTTCTAAAGACTTATTTCTATCATCTTGATTACAGTCAGTCAAAATATTGCTCACAGGCATCAGCATCTATGCACTTAAAAAAGGTGCACAAGTGTCATCCGATCACTTCCTCTGCACGTCTTCCCATTTCCTCACACCTGACTTTTGTTTTTTAAACCAAGGAAACCCTAGATTTCGCCTCTTGTTTATAAGCACGTACACCACTTAAACACCTCGGGAGATGCTAAAAGAAAACAAAACTCAAGGTGACCCATAACTTCGAGAGTACAAAAGGAACGTCTCAAAAAGCCAGCGTTAAGCCTGGAGACGGTTTGCATTTCTGGTGACTCAGAAGATCGCCTTAAGCCAGCCAAGATAGACAGCGGTTGTCAGAGTCATCACTACAGGTCATTTCCTTATCACTCGGACTTGCGGCTCCCACGTTTTGGTAGCTCGGGGTGCTGCAGCGCGCTGCCAAGATGCCTCACAACCCAGCGGGCGCCCCGAACGCCGCGCCGCCCCAGCCCAGCGCCGGCCCCCGCCGGCAGCCCCGCTCCGGGCGCCGCTCAACGCCGGCCCGCGGGGGATCCCCCCCGCTCCCCCTCACGCCGCCATCCCCCCCCCCCCCCGCTCCGGGGCCGAGCGGCCGCCCGCCAACAGCGCGGCTGCCCTCAGCGCCGGGCGGCGAGGGACGGCGAGGCGGGGGGGGGGGGAGGACGGGGGACCCCCCCACGCACCTCCCTCACTCCACTCACCACGACGTGAGCGCCGGGCAGCTTGAGGGGCTTGGGGCTGATGAGCGGCGACACCATGTAGAGGAGGAGGACGAAGGCCACGATGAAGGCGGCCGCCAGGAGCAGCATGGCTCAGGCCGCGCTCCCGGGAGGGTCGCGGCGAGCCGGGGGGGGGGGGGGGGGCCCGCCAGGCGGCTGCTGCGGGGATTGGGGGGGGCAGGGGAAGGGGGTGGGGGGAAGGCACCAACCGCAGCCCGGCGCAGCAGCCGCCCGCCTGCGCCGCGGCACCGGGTGGGGGGGGGGAGGCGCCACCACGGAGCCAGCGAGGAGGAGGAGGAGGAGGAGGAGGGTCCGGCCGCCAGTCCGCGACCGGATTGGCTGCCGAGGCGGGCGCGGGCCCGCGCCCTCGGATTGGCCAACGAGTGGTGGGCGGGTGGTGGGGGGGAAGAGGTGCCCGGGTATTGGCCGAGGGGCGGGACGGGGCTCGGGGATTGGAGCCCCGGGGTGTTTGCAGGGTCAGGGTTGGAGGCGGAGGGCGGGGGGCGGGGCTCCAGCGGGCGCCCCCTGCAGGCGGAGCGGCAGCGCAGGCCGGGGCGGGATGGGTGTCTTCGCCCCGTCACGTGGGGCGGGGGCGCGCGCTTCCCGCCGAGAGGGAGTGGGCGGGGCCGGGCCGTGAGGGGCGGTTTGAGGCCGCCCCGGAGCTGACGGGGGAAGAGCTCGTCTCCGGTGAAGGTACCGGCGCTTAGCGCAGAACCCTGCCCGCGGGCGCCCCCTTCCCTTCCCGTATGCTCGGTGTTGGCCTTGAATGCCCCCTGGACGGGGCGGTGAACGCCAGTTTTGGGAGGGAATACGAAAAAAAAAAAAAAAAGTTGGTTAAGCACGGCAATATTAAGCGCTTACCTTGGCTTCCTCGCGTGCTTACAAAATGTCTTGAATATTAAGCACCTGTTTCTACACAAACTTTAATACGTTGCCCGAGGTTACCAATTGACGCGATTAAAATGGTGGCGAGGTGTCGGGCCGTTTCTGCGGCGCGGACTCGGGAAGGGGCGAAAGCGGCGAGTTACTCCCTTGTGTGGGAAAACGTCGGGCGTCGGTGCGGGAGAAAACAAACGTTTTATGAAAGATAATTAACTGACTATCGCGGGCGGGTTTTAAAGCCTGTTTTACATCATCGCCTCCAGTAAAAACTGATGTGGATTCTGCGAGACTCGGTTTTCAGAGCAGTTGAGCTCCACCGGTTTCTGCTGGCTGCAGTTGGAGTTAATGCCGCTCCCTTGTGCTAAAATCTAAATCCGAGGGGTTTGTTTTGGGTTTTTGTTTTTTCAGCATCATGTTCCCTGATGGGTGAAATTACAGGCTTTTTGTGTTATGCACACAAAAAAAAGAGGAAAGCATGGTTTTCAGCTTTAAGGTGTAATAATAAAGATTAAAACAAAGAAACAACCCTTCCAGAGCAGTCTAAATAAAATAATACTGTAAATTTGGTATAGATACTTATTTAGTATAAGTGTCTGCATTTGATATTTTTAAAATTTAAAGTATAATTATTTGTAACTGAAAACCTCTCTCAACTTACTTTTTCTCACTAGTTATTATGGAGTCGTTGACTTGTACAAAATAGTTTAACAAACAAAGCAAAACAAAAATGAGACCAAAAACCCCTAGGCAAGAGGGTGTGCAGAAGGGTGTGAAAATAATACTGGAGAGGAGATTAGAAGTAGGGAGTAGGCGGAAATGGGAACAGAGATGTTGGCAAGGATTATGGAGTTTTCAAGGTGAGAACAAAGAACCTAAATTTGATGCAGTAAAAGGATGAGAAATCAAGAATTAGTGCAGAAATGGCATTGACCTGGAATATGTCCAGTGGCATTCTGAGTTCAGTGCTGCAGAGGTGGAGGTATGAGGAAGTGAGAGGAAGAAATCGTGCATAGTAAGATGCTAGCTGCTACAGTGGCAGCAGTGGAAGTTGATTAGTGATCCATCTAAGAAAAGACAGTATGTTAATTATATTGTTAGGAGAAGTCAAACTAAGATGTGGACTGGAAAAAGCAGCAATCAAATATGTTAATTTCCTCTTTTACATATAGGTCAGTCTATATGTGTTATCTTTCCAACAATATTAACACAAAAGCAGAGATTAATCTGGTAATAACTACAGACTATTCATAGACTTCCATCACAGAAGATGGTGAGACTTTCAAAGCTCAAATGTCAGCAGTATGGAGATAAAGCAGAAAGAGATAAATCCATCTTTCACAATAAAATATCACTCTCATCATCAAGGTGAGGTGAGGGCATGGGTGCAAGAAATCGTCTGCAGTAAATTCCTAGTAAAATGAAGGTTACACATATTGGTAGGGGGCCTTTAAAAGCCTTGAACACATGATATGGTCCTGATCAGTCACAGTTATAATCACATCTTACTAACCACATTTTAAAGGCCCTTCTAGACTAGCGTGGAGTTACCTTATAGTTGACTTTATGGAGTGATCCATACTGCTTTTTCCTTTTGGCCAAGAGGCCACCTCACAACCGTGGGGTTCATAATGCAACATTGATAATGTCTGCTCTTTGTTTTGTTCTCTGGATTGTAAAGTGTCATGTATTTCTATGTGAAAAATATAATCAAAGGTGAAGACCTTATGAACTGCGTGTCATTCACCAATGAATTCCTCAGCAGATTTTTTTGATTCTTTTAAAATACGCCAACGGAAACTAAAGTTTGCCCTCCCCGAGCTATCTGGTTTTTATTAAATCTCATATGACCTCATTCACGGAGGAAATGCATTCCTGGCACAAGGGAATTGTTTACTATAAAAGTGTTTTCTCAATGACTGTGGAACTGGAAATTGAACGCTAACGTAAACATCATTGCTCTCCGCTCCAAACTGCAGTTGTACATAAAGCAATACTTAATTAATCTGACCTTCATAAATAACATCATAAAGTGTATAATTTTAAAGAGCAAGCTGACCAATGTCTGTATATACCCTGAGGACAGGGAGGGAAAAAAAATGGATAAAACATGCTCATTGCTTTGCTAATTAATCTTTAGAAGAAGCTTCAATACAACAGTGGTGTGCTTAGAGAAGGAGAGGGAATACAAGTAGATGAAAGCAGCCAAACTAAGAGCTGTTGCAGCTGTGGTTTTCTGCTTCCTCAGTTTTGTTAATTTAAATCTTTCAACAGACTTTTGCAATAACAATATTGTGAGTTGAAATATTCAATATGAACCAAAGTGTGGCAACTAAAGAATCAAAGTAGTCATTTAAACATGGAGACAAATTTGTGAATTGGTAATATTATAGCACAAATGACTGATACTAGAAGTGTCCTTTTGATGATCTTAAATGCTCCCAAAACACACCAGGTACCCATGAAAGAAATATGGCTTGTTTGAAGACATCTTCAGGAGAATGGGAGAAGTTTTAGAAGAGCAAGTATAGCAAGGTTGCAGCCTCCAGCCTCTGGAGTCACTGATATTGTGCCTGACTATTTACCTGCTGAATTTTCTGGTTGTTTTCTGAATATTGGGAAAGGGGAGGGGAGACCAGGATCTATAGGCTACACTGTGATAAAGCCAGAGACTTCACGTGATTTTCATCCAGCATGTCCTACTTCATTTAGAAAAAGAAATAGCGGTGAAAGAGTAACTTCCATGGCCAAGGAAAACAACTTTTTCCTTTAATGCTTCCAAATTAACTTGCTTTCTTTTCCAGCCTTCTCCCTTTTTTTTTTTTTTTTTTTTTTTTGTAGCAAGTTTAGGTGTGGCATCCAACATCCCTGTTAAGAAATGAGTTTTAATGGTTACAAGAGGTTAGAGCCACTTTAGTAATTCTGGGATTCCTGTGAAGCTCCAGGTTTTAGAATAATGGCAACCTAGACAAGTGGTTTCTGTCAACCAACTTTCTTGATCCCTTACCTCTTGAGGAAGAATAGCTGATAGGAAATGTAAAAGCTTCTGTACTTGATCAGAAAAAGATCTAGCAAACATATTGTCTGTCCCTGACGCTTGTCTGTAGAGGATACTTGGGAAAGTAATGATGGCCTGTATATGGTGGTAACTAACGCAGCATGACTGAAATGTGTATCACACCCAGTTGTCTGCCTGTCTGTGCTTCCCCAAAAAAACAGGCTCCCTGTAGCTGGACAACAGCTTGCGTACTGGTTGTCATGCTGGGTGGAGACCATAGAATTGTTCTTCTGTTGGAGGGCAAAACAGTTCCCAGAGTGCTACCCAGGCCAGAATACCCTGTCGAGGTGCCCCCTCCGCTGGAGAGCCGTCGGGCTGATCTTGTGGGTCTTGCTAGAAGATTTCCAGCGTTGCCATACTCAGCATCAAGGAGGTGCTTGCTTGCAGCAGGGACAGATCCCAGCGCTCTCGCCAGTGCCAGCTACTCCAGGTACCCTTACTGGGATGTGAGCTGATGGCCCAGGCACTTCTGCAGAATGGCTCCCCGAGGTTGCCATCACGCAGGCAGGTGGTGTTTGTAGGCAGCCCAGGCTCAGGTCGAGCGGAGGCTGCCTGGTGGGAGCAGAGGAGGTGGTGGTGGTGGCTGACTGTGTAGTACAAAAGTAGGTGACGTGTACATACATAGCTCAGGCACCAGCCTAGTTCCCCAGGGCTTTTGCAGCTGTTTTGGGGATGAACACACTGGAAAGAAAAATGCTGAAAGCACTGTTTAAATCAGATTTTTGTCTTCATGCTGTTCTTCAAGCTTATTTAACTGTTTAATGTGTTTACCACAGTTGTTTTAAAAAAATAAGGTAAACCAATCTCCCAAATTAATGACTCGTAAATTGGGAACCATTATCTGTTAGAATTAATTTATTTTTTATTTTATGCTAAAAAAGTAACTGTACTGATATTTTGCATGTTGAGCAATAGATCCGCTAAAATAAAAATGACAACACAGCAGTAAAAGGAAATCTTTACTGTCTAATTTAAAAGAGCATAAATTAAACTTGGGACCAAGATGATCCTGAATTTCGTTTATTATCTGTGTTCCTTTTAATTGAGTACACCTGCTTATACCAGACTTCACCTTGGAACAATTTGCTGTTCACACTTGGACATAAGCGACTCCTTTAGCTTGCTAAATATTGCTAGGGGTGCTGTGGATTGTGGGTTGGAGGCGAAGGCTGAGCAGCCTCCCTCTCCTCAAGTGGCATGGAAAGCACACGGGAGCAAGCACGGCTGCAGGCAGGCAGGAGCAGACTGTGGATATCCTTTGCAGTGGAAGGCTCCGTGCTAAAACTTTTAAGTATCTGTAAGAAGTGAACGCAGGCTTGTCACACAGGGACAGCCACT